TTTTCCTAACTTATTATCTTGTACGTGAACATTACTATCACATGAAATAAGTTCTCTGTATAAATTTCAGTTCACTGATTCCCTACAAAAACTGGACTGACCATAATCTATTATTTCTCATTTAGATAAATTCACATTTTCGCGTAGTTTTACTGTTATATGTTTCAACTCATGCATAGATTCAGATAAATCTATGAAGAATATATTCGGTTTTTATTTACAGATGAAAGTATACAACCATTATCCTATATATTAATGAATGATTCGACTTTAGTTTTCTAAATTTTGCATCAAAGTTTTTTAAGTTTACCATACTTTAACTAACGAGTGATATTTACTTTACGTTTTGCAGTATTGATTTCCTGACATATTCAAATATACACGGACTCAACAAATATTCTAAATATTATATCCAAACAATAATAGCTGATGTAATTAGCCCATCTGATGAACTTTTCTAAGACTAGAATAACAAAAATCAATAAATGAAGTGAAATCCTTCCATATTGAAAGATCTAAATCTTCCAAATACATACTGATTCAGATAAATAAATAAATAAATAAATAAAATGATTCATGAATGTTATTCTATGTGCAACATATGAAAGGCACTTGTGAAAAAAACAATTACAAATGCTTTACTTATTCATAAAATTTTAATTTATAGATAAATAAATTAAACAAGTGAAAAACAATACCGTAATTGCGTATTGCAAACATGTGCCAATTCAGTTTTGCAAATACTACGACAACTTAATCGAAGGAAGCTTGAATTCCAGTTTAATTTGAACTATACCTTTTTTAAGCAAAGATGGATAGTGGTTAGCAGTGTAAACCAGGACGCGCGTTTTGTCTTGTTTGGGACTCTTCAGATGGATGTACATGTATCGCAAAGTTGATGTTCACTATGAGACTCGAACTCAGTACTGTTCGTTTCAAACGCCAATGCGTTATTCACTTAGCTAATGAGTCCTGTTAACCACCTGATGTGCAATTGGGTGAAGTTTAAATTCACTTGGTGTTGTTTTACTTGTATCTTCCCATTGTTATTTAAGACTTAAGGCTATATCGAGGCAATCCGCACAAGATGCACATATGCCAACATTAAACTGATCAATTGAAGTTTTAAATAACAATGAGAAGATACAAGTAAAACAACACCAAGTGAATTGATACCTTTTGTAGTTTAATTTGGACAAGCACAACAGTAACTTCATAACCAATCTCTACCACTCAACTTAATACATCACATACATATTATTATATACCACGAAATATTACCACTTATCATCGAACTCTATCAGTAATAAGCCTTATTAAAAAGGAAAGAGTTTTTTATAAAAAATACTACTTCTGTTTCCAAATGTACTCAACAGTGATAAGAACTTATCTTACGAATGAGGTGTTTTGACTGTTTTTATGTAAGCGTATGTGTGCGCATTTCTTATCTTACTCATCACACTTTTGTAATTTATTTGTGTTTGACCACGCTTGGTTAAATCGAGTTGACTCACTCGCCTTCTGCACTGGGCGTCATTTAGTTTCGGTTCTCTCCCTCCTCTTTGCTTCCTTCGCTTTGTCTCCCTGATTGTCTGTTTAGATCAACGATTGCGTGAAATGCACTTATTTGAAATTCATTCACGTATTTGACTTATTTTACCCCGTTATTTACTATTTAAGTCGATGATTATATGCATTGATTGACGATAGGTATGAGTTAATAACGATAATGACACGATCAAATTGAAATAAGATATTCCAAGGCCACTAAAAGTTTATGCACATTACTAACTTCATTTATTAATGATAGAATTAATCCATACGTCATATATACAAATATTTTCGAACAATATTCAGACCTAAATGACAAACGTGAGAAATAATTGCTTTTCAATGTAACAGTTATAAAAACAGAATGTTTTTTACTATCTGAAAATAAAATCAGATAAAAACGAGTAGAACAAATTTAGCTCACAAGAAAATGTCCATCCTCTCTAAGATCTTAATACATTTATTACAAACCTTCAATAAGATATATATTTTTAAACACGACTAATCCTATAGATTGCGTCAATCTACGTAATATAACATGCAAGCTTATGTAATCACTCTAAAAACTTCTAGATTTCAACAGTTTTTTTCTCCATTAACCATTTAATATTAATTGGATAAATTGATGTTAAGCATCACTTAATAAGTTACACATTTCTATGAGTGTACATATTAAACACCAGCGGAAATCAAAGTCACCATGGATTTAATGAAGGACTTTTAAGCGATTGTTTTTTTTTTCTTGGTTGATTCATTTAATCGGCGTAATGTAAAATATTTCATATTTATTCGTGTAATTCAAAATTATTCGGTTAGTTTTTCAGACAATCTGTTGTAGTGTCGGTTATTATGTTAAGCCCAAATACCCTATTCTAGCTTTCGGACAGCCCAATCTATTCATTTTACTTGAGTCACATTTTGACTATGTTAATCATTCGCTTATCAATCTTGACTTTTTATATGAGCACATATATGTGTGTGTACACCTGTTATTTTATTCACCACATATCTGTAACTTATTTTTGTGTGCCTATAAATATTGATTAACGCTTGATTAAATGGAGTTGGCTCACACGCCTTATCCACTGCGCGTCGTTTCGCTTCTCTCTGTTCCATTTGCTTCATGTATAAAATATATGTATTTAAAAGTCCATTCTCGTTATTTGACTTCTTTAATTCCTTTATTGACTAAAGCGATTTAAGTCGATGATTATATACGAGGATAGGCGACATATATATTTCGACAACGATCATTCATACGATCAAATTGGAGTTAAATCTCGGGGCACTAAACTGTAATCGACAGAATATAAACAATAATTTAATTAATGAGAAATTTATTTTTTCCAAGATTTTTAGCAGTGAAAAACAAAAAGACATAATTTATAATTATTTTAAAATTTCTGAGCTAATTCAGGGATGTTTCGTCAAGATTATTCAAAATAAAATAGATCAACTCTTATTGGAATTATATATGCTGAAAGAAATTACAAGTCACTTCCAGTAATTCAGTACTCGAAATTTGAAAAAAAAAACAGATAGCTCAATTGCTTCACATTTACGTTGTTTAATTACTATAGAAATAGATTAAAGATGTCATGATTTGAAACTATGTATCATAATCTAAGTCACAGTTCAGATGATACGACATGATATTAATAATGAACAATTGCCATCGAAATTATATAGTAAAGTCCAATCAATACAAATATCTGATTAACTGATGAACATTAAGTTATCATGTAAAAGTTTATAGATTTTCTTTAGAAATGAAATTAATCTTATACTGATTAACCTAGAACAAATTAAAAATGAAGATTATACAGCAATCACTCTGTTCATTGGGATGATTAAAGCACTGTTCTTCAAATCAATTAGTTTCATGTATGTTTAATTGAAACAATGGACTTTGTTCCTTAGTTTGGTATCAAAAAAAGGAGTATTATATTATTATTATATAGTATTCGAACTTCTTCAAATTAAAATGAAACTTAAGAGCAGGATCTATAATTTTAGTCAACATGAACTTAACTGTGACATAACTGCAACTGAAACTTGTTATGGGTTGGAAAACACTGTTGACAGTTAAATATTTGTCTCACTGTCCATTAACAAAATATCTTTTCATTTAGTACTGATGAAATAAACTCATTTATACACAGATTCACTTTTATGAATCATTCCACAAAAAGGCCACACTGTATTAAATATAAGAAACATAATACCGAGATGATAATAATGAAATGTTATACAAAGGAGTGTTGTACTAATTAAAATGTTACACTAAAGTATCATGTGACATCATATTTAACGCCTACCGGAGACAAAAATATTGCTGCTATACCAGTTAAAACTTGTTTAATCGCTAATTAATCAAGTGTTTATTACGTAGTGATAACCAGAAGTACTGCAGATCTGAGCGAAGATAAATCATGAATCATTAATGTACTGAGCTAACTTGTTTCAATTTATTTATTTTGTCTTTTATAATTGAAACTTCCAGACTAATATTTTTCATTTGAATATCGTAACCGGTTGTACGAAGTTCTGATAACAATTGATTTATAACTACACAATAATGAACCTTAATTTAAGTTACAGATATTAAGAATGACTTATGCTCCTCCACGAGGAATAACAGGCGTAAGCAAGCTTGTAAGTAAGTATAAATGTAAAATGTACAAAAACCAAATCAATACCATGATAAGTTTCGTCTAGAAGAGCAAACCACTAATAAAAATCAACACTGAATAATATTGTCGACTAGAATAAATACAGTTCAATTTTGTTGGATATTTTTTGAAAAAAATCTATTCACCCGGTAAACATTTTGTTTTAGTTTTGGAATTTTATTTATTTAGCTTGATCTTCACCCATCCTATTCGAATATGATCAGCTGAAGTTTTGCTTAGGCAGTAGAAATAATTAGGACTAATTTGAAATCACTTATTTACAACTTATATTTGATAACATTTTGCTAAAACAAACATTGCTAGCAATCCACATACTATTTATAGACAATGTTGTATACCTTGTAAATTTTTCAGACGATTTTTGTGAAAATAACATTTGGTACTGATATGAAAAAGTATTCGATGGAGTGAATATCTAATTTTATTGATAATAAACACAAAAAAAGCTAAACACAACTGTAAATTAGAATGTACATTGACATTGAATAGTTGTAATTAAATAGCTATTGTTGTTCTTAAAATTTAGTCAAATTATATTTAGCTATTCAAATCTTGCATGCTTGTGCATAAAGCATTTTCTAATGATTGGAAACTTTACTGTGCATTTCAAGTGGAAAAGGCAAAGCTTCTTTCTGATTGGTTCATTTACAATAAAGGTCATAGAATTGATGTAAACCAATCATTTTTATTTGCACAGTTTCATTATTAAAGTAAATAATAATCACAATATCGTAAACAAGCGCTTGCCAACTTTATCGATAATATAAAAACAATTCTATTTTGAAAACAATTGAACTGTGCGTTAACATCGTTATAAATTTCGATTGTTCCTCAAATCTTTACAAAAATTCAAAGTCAAACGATGAATTTATTATTTAAAACATCATTGTTAATTTCCAGTGTACATGTGGAGCTGAGATGATAAAAAAACCTAATCCCATATTGAAACAAAATAATTTTGATCATATAAAAAAACTGATATCTAAAGTATATATTCCTTAATTTAGAACCACTGCACAAATTATGCAACATCTATGTATCAAACAGTCTAGTCGTATTCAATTCCATAAAAAAATTTACACGTAAATGAATAATTTCTGAAACTCAAACAACCGTCAGTTAATAAGAAAACATTGACTTGACTGATACATTTATTAGCTTATGTTTTATTCAACGTAGATTCATAAAGATTTTTTCCGTAACTAACATCATTTTGGTGACTGGTGAGTTTCATCATGTAAACTTTTATTAACATGTTTTTACATAACTACAATTTAATGTACTGTTGAACGCGTAACAAGTAATTGCAGATTCATATTTTTTCAAATTCGATTACAGTACAAATACGAGAGATTTAATAAACCATTAACATCCTAAACATTTCAGAATCTTTGTAGTCAGTTTGAAATTAATCCTACTTGGCTGTATTTCATGACTTTTGGAAATGTGAATATTTATAAAAATAGAACTCGTAAATCGATTTATTTTGTAATGTATCGGGCATTTCAAGTCATTTGAAAAAAAGGCATATGATCTGAAAAATATCTTAATGAAGCGACTAATAAATGAACTATAGTGAGTCTTTATTATTATTCAGCTTGTTATTTTCACGGTCATAAAGGTCTAGTGACATTTTCAAACAATAACTAATTTCTAATTTTTTGAGTAGATATCTCCTTTAATTTATTATAGATTTTATACTCCAAAAGTATACACTTGACTGTTCTTAATATCATGAATCAAGTTCATGCTATAATGCAACTTAATCAATAAGGAACGAAGTCTTCGCAAACAAATTTTTTTAAATTTAAAGTAGATACCTACTAACTATATTGTTTGAATCAGTATACAATTGCTAATTAGATGAGAACTTTGGGATGTAAATTTATTTTTAGAAAATTCTAATAAAGCACTAATATATTCCGTATAATTAAAGTAAACTAAGAAATACCTTGTTCTAACATTTTTTGAAAAAAATATATTCAACTAGATCACGTAGGTTTGTACTTATTTAGCTTCATTACAAAAAACCCCACATATATGTTGTACAAGCTGCAGAAAGGATTAGATTATCTCTTGAACATTACCTATATCAATGAAGTCCCGACCGTTGTTGCTACCTTGACGTGGTGGTCAAGCTTGCATATCGTGATGATGCAACTGAGCTATACTGGTCCTACCATGCCAGACAGCTCGGTTGAAGAGCAGTAAGACTAAAAGCAACAAAACCAAGGTCGAAGGCAAAATAGTACTGCTGACTGTACAGAGGTGTGACAGCAGTAAGGTGTTTCCTTCAGACAACCAGCATAACAGCGATGCTGCCTTCCCACAAGAAGGGGTGGGGTTAGAAAAGGTCGACCCTAAAAATGCACACCTCGCCTTAGCCCACGGATATCTGTCTCCAGCGGTAAGGTCTCAACAAGTACGGAGCTAACACAAAAACTACTCATAAATGAGTCGTGTGTGACCGACCTCAAGCAGCTGTCCCTTGGGCACTGCGGTCACGCTCTCAGGTCACTGTGACCACCTCTAATCCAATTTCCTTTTCAGGTACTTCCAGAAGGACCCTTCCACGGTGTGGGCAACCTGGAAGTGATAACCGCCCTCATACCTCTAACAGCACTCAAAACTGACTGATATCAATGAAGTGATCATGAAACGAAATGGTATCTCACTTGATTTCATATCTTAATTATATTTTCCTAATAAATAATATTTCTAATGTTTTCATAAGTGATCATATATGTTCTTCTCATTATTATCATTAATAAATACATAAACATTTATGAATAAACTTTGTCACGAAACGTCAGAAAAAACCTAATTTTTCTACTCACAGGGATATTACAAAATATATTATTAATTTATTGATAACAATCTATCCAATGCTCAATTTGTTCCAAAATATCAAGTCAAACCTTGGTCATGATACCTGCAAACTTTGATTTAGTTTATGAATTTGAACGTCATCAATAGACTCTACGATTTTAAATTCGTAGTGTATTTTGATGACATAAGTGTAAACAACATTAGTGTAATAATAATAAATAGGAACTTTCGTCTACATTTGATCGAATAGTTTCACAGTATTTGGGCGCCGAGTTAATGTGAGACATTAAAGAGGAAGAATGTATTTTTAAAATCTCAGCGAATGAATTTTGAAGTAACTCCAACGTTTCGCCTGGCAATCTGATTCAAGCTTTTTCAAGGAAATATAATCAAAATTATCAAATATAAATAGGTAAATGTTTCTCCGGTTTACTGTTACTAAATAAGTCATCCAATCAACGTTAATAAAGTTTAGAGTAGGTATTTGCATTTGTTTGTAAGAGACATATGGTTTAAAAACGAAAAATGTTAAGATAATAGATTGTGTGTATTCACTATATATTGTCTTCGGTCGGTGATTATTAAGAAAACATATAATTTTTATATATGATATGAATCGAAATTGTCACATCGTAATACTGTTTGGATTAGCCCATATACATGTAGGGCTTCTGCCGTTAGTCTTTCTTTGTAAGAATTAAAGCCTTTTTGAAGGATTCTTTTGCCATTGAAATCAATTATATGACCCGATTCTATCGAGTGTAATGTCGTTGCCGATTTGTTCTCGAGTTTTCTTCCCTCAATAAGTAAACAAAAGTGGCTTCTTATAGATTACAGTTTAAATATAGTTAGTTCTTTTACAAGCTTCATTCTCATAATTATAAATTAATTCTAGATAATAGGAATATAGTGGTGAAATTTTATTGTGAATGTTTAACTACAATTTTCTTCAAAAGTAAATATCGTACCAAATATATGTGAATGTTTTAATAGTTTGACACCGATAATATTAATAGGCTAATTGTTATTGTAAAGATAATGAAAAGAAAAAGAATAGTGTAGATTTTAACGGTGAATATTAGAAACTGCCTCGATGAAAACAATCGTTAATTCATTAAAAATATGATCTGATACTTTACTAATAATAAAATAAAAGGATGGTAGATCTTTTCTTTTAATAAAACTTGCCATTTTATGTTACTAATTTCTTTAAATTACCTTTCAGTGTTGTTCAAAACAGCATTATTAACGCTTACTTCATACAGAAGTGAGCTTTTTAACTGTTCCATAACAAATACATTAGTCTGTCCTGATGGATTTGTTTGTGATCGACATTCACTTTGGGTTTCACCGTCTTCAGTTATCTTTATAACTTTGTTAATGGTGTTTTTAGATTGACTTCTGATCATGCGACGTTTTTTAAAAAAAAACACCAAAAGCATCTTCTATATCATTGAAGAAAAAACTTATCGTTTGTTTACTCATTTTTTGTATTGGTTGCTTTGATCTTCTCATTGGTGTTTAGGACTGTAATTGATCAGTCCCTAATTTATATATATATATATATATATATATATATATATATATATATATATATATATTATTTATTTATTTGAACACATAAATATTGGTATAGGGGGGCACCAAATACATATGCGCCACACAAAACAATGATAATTTGAAGAGAAGGAGAAAAGAGAAAAAAGAAAAAAAGTAATGAACGTGGGGAATTATAAAAAAAGGGAGAGAGAGAACAATGGTGGGGGAAACGGAAAGGTACAATCAGAAGAGATCTTTCAGTTAAGGAAGATGCAACCACTTTTTATGAAGAAAGTAAGAGGTTACAGCACGATCGCCACTGGCTTCTATTCTGAGCCATATCTGATAACGTCTCTAGCTACTGCGTTACACCGTCTCTCGGACCCCAACCAGGGAGTCATGAAGGACCAACAGAAGCTAGCCCTTTGCAGCTTTCTTTCATACCACGACACCATGTCATATACTGACCATATATATATATATATACATCCTGTATGGATCATCTATGTATTATCTTCAGTCACATGCTTAACGTTTGTTATTCAAATCACTATGCTGAAATCTTTTTTAATCAATTTTATTTTCATAGTCATTCATATTTATGTTATTTTTCATGTTTATGTAGTACATCTAACTTTTCAACATTATTCCACCCTATTAGTTTAATTATTGTAAACAAATGCAGTCATTTAACCAAAATAACTCCCGTTGATTAACTGGTATATTGATTATTTTTTTCTAAAGATAAATATATATTGCACAAACTTTTAAGTCAATATGTCACTCATGAAATGTTATATTCTTATAAGAGTATGGTTTATTTGGGCATTTTCGGTTATTATTATTATTATTATTCCGTAATTCTTTTCAATATCTCACAAAATGATGTCTATTGAATCATAGATTTTAATCAAATATTCTATTTATTGGTCAGTCAATTTTTAGTCTATATAAACAATATAAGTATTTGTTTATTTTTATAAATAAACTATCTCTAGGTGATTGTTGTTGTTGTTGTTGAATTTATTCAATCTGTTAATAAAATGTTTATAATACATTAACTGATAAGATCAGTAGAACGGGTTATAAATAAATAAATAAATATAGTTAATCAATGATAACTACTCATATATATACATATCTACGCTTTTTTTAAATAATTTATATAAACATATTTGTTGTATTAAAAGGAGAAAAAAACATTAAGAAAGTATGTGTGAGAGAGAGAGTGGAGAAAAATTAATCACTAGGTCAAATATTAGGAATATTGTATACATTTAGTGTTTTCAACTTTTGTAAAGATTTATATGTATTGTGTAACATTATATTTCTTTGTATTTATGTCTTTTTATCATATTGGCCAGCCCCCAAACGCCCTGGTACGGCCGAGAGTGGGGAGAGTCCGCTCTCCCTCTCGAAATGCTCTCACATGGTCACGCGTATATAGCTTCTGTCAGGGAAGCCCTACTCACTGCCTTCTCGTGGCGGAGGTGTTGTCTACGAAAATGAGAGGACGAAAAGCGAATGTCCGGCGCTTTAACCGGATCCCAAATCAATTGCGCACATTGCCTCCAGTATCCTGCGGGAACAAATGGCGTATGAACCAATCGTTGGTCACCGGTTACTATGGGACTGCATCTCCTCACGATGCTCCACTGCCTTGATGGTCAGACGTTCAGGTCAAAGGCTCGGGGTGCGGCCCCCTAAGGAAACCAACTGCTTCGGTTTGGGAACCTGGGCAGTATCACAGCCCTCACACAAATCAATTGAGATTCGTGTGGCGCGTATGTATTTGTTGCCTCCTTGTACCAATACCTATGTGTTAGAATAAATAAATAAATAAAAATCATATTAG